AATTCTTATAACAGGAAGAAGACTTTGAAAGTTGATTAAACTCTGAGCATTCAATAGTTACCACAATTCTTGGACAGCAAACAAAATTAGAAAACTTCATGTGCTGACCACACAACAAAGAGAACAACAAAACAAGGATTTCATTTCTCATCAATACAATATTCTTTTGAAATATAAGTATCATCCATTATTATAAATATGTACCTGATCATTTTCTAACTCAAAATACAACAATGACATCAATCATCTCAATAAAGTACAATCTAGTTTTCAATTTAGCTTTGGAACTGAAACTACTTCAGTACAACCTCTTCTGAATGAGATGCACAGAAAATATAACTTTATTCCTATTTTGGAGACTTCAGATCTTTTGCTTTCACTGACAATATCTTAGCCAGGATCTATGAAGTCAAAATTATTTGCGAAATAGCAATACCACTTAGGCTCATATATCACTTCATAGTGCTTTATAGCCCTCTCCAAGCGGTTTACAGAACCAGCATATTGCCCCACTGTCACTTCTCCTATGGTGTTCCAGAGGGTACATTTGTTTTCTTCCATATATTATCACCTTCATAGGAAATTGCTGACAATCAATGAATTTGAAATATTGTCATCTGTATGTACAATAGATGGTACTACTGTGTTTTCCCGAAATTAAGACCCAGCTGGAAAAATAAGCTCTAGCATGTTTTTTCAGGACACTCGTAATATAAGCCCCACTCCCAAAATAAGCCCCAGTTAAGATCATCAGCTAGACCAGCGGTTCTCAACCTATGGGTCGCGACCCCATTTGGGGTCGATCGACCATTTCACGGGGATCGCCAAGCAAGGCTGTCCGCCATTTTTTCCCCCTTTTCCGGCGGCTGCCTTACCTCCCTTGGGCTGGGCCAGCTGGTGGTCGGCCTGCTCCGTCTCTGCCGCTTGCCAGCTACGCCTCGGCCGGCGCAGGGGGCGGAACCACGCATGCGCAGTGCTCCCGGGCAGGGAAAGTCCCCGACTTACGACCGGTTGGGTAGTCCTCGACTTACGACCAGTTTAGTCCTCGACTTACGACCGATTTAGTCCTTGACTTACGACCGGTTGGGGGTCGCGGCATTAAAAAGGTTGAGAACCACTGAGCTAGACGGATTTATTTATTTATTTATTTATAATTTAATTTATACCCCGCCCTTCTCCTCATGGGACTCAGGGCGGCTAACAGCCTCATAAAAACTACAATACAAATACAATAATTAAAAGCCGAATTAAAAAGAAATATTTAAACAGGCCGATCAATTAAAATTACCCTTAAAAATCCCCTGAAACTTTAAAATCATTAAAAATTA